GAGCTTAGATCGAGCCTGTGGAGAGGGAGCCTGTGGAGAAGTATAATTCATAACAGGAGCAGTGACAGGTACAGACAAAACAGTCTCGAGTGAAGAGGTAGGAGTGTCTGTTGACAAATTGAGTCGTGCTGTCTGCTGCCGGGTCTCATAAGCAGTGAGAGCTCCCATAACTGAGGCCAAAGTCGGAAATTGAGGCTGATGAAGTAGTTGATCAGCCATAGTTGAATATTCAGGAAGGGACTGAAACAGTTGATGCACCTCATGCCGTTCGTACCAGGCTAGCCAGTCTTTATATGTGGAATTACGTCCAAGAAGCATGGAGCGTAACTTTGTCCAAAAAGCTTGCATTTTTCCAAAATGGGACTGCAGATATGAACTACCTTTGCGTTGTAGAGCAATGCGTTGCAGAAGATATGCCTCCCGTGCACCCGAGCACTCAGTGAAACGCTCAGTGAGACGAGTCCACATGGCCCGAGCAGAGGGAAGCGAGCCAATCTCGATAGTGAGACCAGAGCCAACACAGCGAGTGAGATAATCCATGACACGAAATTCTTGCAATTGCCACTCTGAACTCTCCTTGATATAGAGAGCACGAGCAGACTGAAGATCGACATTACCACTGCCAGAGGTAATAGTACTGGATGAAGCAATAGTGTTGATGGACGGTGGAACTGGTCCCGTACTGGTAAGATGATCAAGCAAATCAACGCCACACAAGGCATTGGTGACAATGGTGGAGCACCCTGCCCAGTTGATAATCACATTTTATTACAATTTTATACCCTCATTATCTATTTTATATGAATAAATATATCACTAATAATTGTTTTTATTGCAGGTTAATGAAGAAATAATGAATAAAAGCCTAAAAGACTTCAACTTCCTCATTTTGTAACCTTTATAGAAGCCGGAGAAAATCAAAAATCCAATATGAAGAGAAATTATATTCAAGATGGTTGGCCGCAAAGAAATAACGATATCTCCTAATCCGGAAGGCGGAATTTAACATATAATATATGAAAATCGCCTATCTCGACGAGACGAAGCCAACCGTGAAGTCAAAGTTACTATTGGAGTATCGATACAGGCATCGATGCGGGCATCGATGCCAGCATCGATACCTGCATCGATGTCTGACATTCTGTTATGCATCAATGGCTGAAAATGGATTGTTTTGGATAAGATTTCGATCCAATGGCTCACATTCACTGATGTTTACTATAAATAGGGGTAGAGAGTGAGGGGTTAGAGGTGTGAAAATTTTGTAAACTCCTTTTGGAGAGGAGGGCTACTCTTAATTGAGAAGGCCTTCCAAAATTGTAACTTTTTGTTGCAATTAATAATAATAATTTTTTCACCACTTTAAATTTTTCTCTTCTTCTCTTTGTTGGATGATGAAGATGAAGATGAAGATGGAGAATTATTTGAAGGTTTGCATTTCTTTCTTTTTCTCTTTTATTGCTTATTAGTTTAGATTTATTTCTATGCTTGTAGTTAGATTTTATTTTCTTGTTAAATAGCCAAGAGGCTAGAACCCTCTTGCCTTAGATTTATTTCATGCTTATAGAGTAGATTTATTTTCTTGCATTTAATTCTTGCAATTTTATTTTGTAGTTTAGATTTTGCAATTTATTTTTTTAGTTAGATTTTCCTTTTTTCACTATTCACCTTGAGGCTAGAACCCTCTTGGGTTTAGTTTTTCTTTTTGTTTATTTTCATTTTGTTTGATTCGCCTTTAGGCTAGAACCCTCTAGGGAATCACCCTTTTCTAAGAAGTGGGTTCAATTTTAGATTACCCATATCTATAATTGAATCCACCATCTTTACTTTCTTGCATTTTCTTTTATTTTTGAACTTTGTTCTTCATTCTTGATTTTTTATTTGTTTCTTGATTTTATTCATTTTTTCCTTCTTGCCTTATTGATCACACTCATTCTTTATCACATCCACTCTCACTTTTTGCGCCGTTTCACACACTACCATTTTCACTCTCTCAATCTCTTCACAATCACATTCACTTATCACTCCTATTTGTCACGCACACAACATAAGAACCGATTTTATATTTTCTCCTACAAAACACCTTCCTCGTGGGATCGATATCTTAAATACTATAACTTGACACGGTTGTGCACTTGCAACCTTTTTGGTACATGTTTATGCCGCATCACCAGTCACTTTGATCATTGAGTGGCAAATATGGTTTGGGAATCTTCTCTGAATGAGCCATAACAGCAATGTTGAGACGTTAAGATGTCGAGATGTCGTTACTGACTGCGAAACGGCAATGCCATTCGTTTAAGGCCGAGAGACGGCTTGAAACGACGATGCCGTTAATTTGAGACCGAGAGACGGTCTTGAAACGGTAATGCCGTTAAAATAGAACCTGAAGGTTAGAATGAAATCCGAAGGTTTAAAATAGAACCCGAATGTTAGAATGAAACCCGAAGGTTAAACGAGAACGCGAAACGCGTTAAGAGGCCGCAAAGCGACAAGGCCAAAATATCTGGCAGATAAAAAAACATTAAACGGCTGCAAAGCAACAAGGCTAAGATTTGGCAAAAGAACGCATAAGCGTTAAAAAATTTTATTGGAAGGGAAATAGCCCTAGCTCTGATACCATGTTAAAGTAAGAGAGAGAGAATCTTGGATAAATTTCTCTTGAATTGAATATTGAGTATGCACATATATTTATACAAGTAGAGAAGTGTGATGTTTGTTCTCCCAAGCAATGTGGGACTAAAACCCACTACAATACACTATTATCAACACGAACAAAGTTCTACAATAAAAATGGAATTCTTGAAAAAAAAAAGAAGCAATGTTTTGAAGCACTTGCCTTGAGAGCCCTCCCCTTTGATTTGTCCCTCTCTAAGGTTTATTGATCAGCAAGAGGAAGGAGATCATCCTCAAATGGAGAGGGTTTCTTAGGGCGCTTGTAACGAATTTGGATTTGTGGGATGCACTTGATAGAAAAAATGGGTGAAAATAAAAGTGCTGAAATCCTTTAAAATCATGTTTAATCAAAATGCATTTAGAGGGTGTTAATTAATTGGGATATTTTCATGCGAAGTGAGATAGTTATTAAAGTGGAGCAATTTTTTGCTAGTGGAATATTTTAGTGGGATAAATAGGAACAATTTTGTTAAGTTGGATATTTTGATTAAAAAATGTGGGATAAATTTTCATAATCATGAAGTATATATTTATGCATTTTGAGGATATAAATATTATTTATTTATTTTAAACTTACTATTATTGATTGATAATTATTAACAAGAATGTTATTTACTATTAAATAACTTTTGGTTAGAATATAAGATATTGAAAATTGTTGTTATAATATATGTTGTAGATTTTTTATTTTTTAATTATCATTATAGTACAAGTCTCAAAAAAGATTTTCGTATTTTCCTTCCTTTTTTGCTCCCTGAGATCTCTTTACATCATCTCTCAATTTTTTATTGTTTAATAAATCATGGATTGATATAATCTTTACTTTTAAATTAATTGTATAATTATAATATTTGGTAAAAAAGAAAATATCAGAGATGAGTAAAAGAAGATGAGATCTGATCTAATGGTATAGTCTAATGATGGTGATGACCATAGTAGGAAAGAAGTAAAGAAAAATATGAATATAAAAAATAAAAACTAATAAAATAAATAGGAGTTCTAATTTTTCACCACCAAGCTCCAAGCTAAAACTTGAGATAATTTGAGAGACTAAAATTCTTATTTTTGTATAGAAAAATAAAAAAAAGTGGGATACTTTTGTACATTCATCTCAGTTCTAGTTTTGTTCTAATTGACTAACACTGTAAAATTTTATTCTAATTTTAGTTCTAGTTGACTAACATTATAAAATTTTATCTCACAAACTATCATAGTTCTACTTTTGAGTTCTATTTGACTAACCCACCCATAGGAATTTTTTTTTTGTAAAATCTCTCCTATGAAAATTATTTTTGTTTGATGGTAAACAATTAAAAGCCAAAACTAGCTTTAGAAATCAAATCAACAGCTGAAGTTCTTCATCCAAGAGCTATAAACTAAAATATTGTATTTTAGATACGATCTGAAAATATTGTACTATCTGTGTGAGGCCTTCCAAATTATGCTCAGAGAGGCCTACCTTCATATATGAGGCAGTAGCACAAGGTATCTAATAGTATTTCCGCGAAAGGATAATAAATTACATTGTTGATTAAAAGAGAGAGAGTCAATCTAATTCAATCATATTCTATTATATTTTAATTTTTGAAAAATGGGCAATTGATAGTATCTTTCATTCAATCAATCTAAACACATGTGAGGTTAATACAAACAGCAAAATAGAATACACTTGGTAATTTCTGAGTGATCCAGTAGCCCATAGCTAGGAGTTGTGGGGATAGAACGGACAATCACGTTACGGAATATGAATGTAGAAAATTGACACCGAAGAAATTTTCTAAACAAAACGGTTCATAATTTTTTTTCTAAAAATAAACCCTTTTGAGTTTTTTTTATTATAAAAATTGTCTCATTTTGTCTTAATCCAGTTTCTAAATAGTCGGGGTTACCAATCCCGGCTATTTATGTATAGAATGTTAGGGTTTAGGGTTATAATTGGGGGTATACAACCTCCTAAATAGTCGGGTTGGCAACCCCGACTAGTTAGGAACCAGATTAAGACAAAATTGGTCTATTTTTGTAAATAAAATTCAAGATGATCTATTTTTAGAAAAACAAATATGAGTAGGTTTATTTAGAAAATTTCTTCAATTGACACCATCAAATTTTGACGAAGAATCCAAATTATGTTCTTTTTTTTTTTGAACATCTTTTATGAAGTTTTGAGTATCTCGCAGGGTTTCTCGGGAGTTGCCCTTTTCTTTTGTTAGGCTGAAGGCCTCTAACGTGATCTCAAATTCTTTAAATGGGTAAGGCTGTGACAGAGCCTACTAAGGCCTTTTTAATTTGACCCGTTTAGTTTGAAGTGTTAAGCGGGCCCAAAAGGCCATCCGAGATCTTATCGACGTTTTCTGAACCAAAATCTCGGGCGAGAGAACCCTAAAACCCATTAGAGATCTTAGAAGAAGAAGAGGGAGGAAATTTTGAAGGCATGGGGAGACGAAAACCCAAAACTCTTAGGATATCAGGTTCGTTTTATTCTGATTTTTTCCCCCTTCTTTAATAATAATTTTTAATATCAGGGTTTCCCTCTTTTTGTTGCGATTAGTCAAATTTCTCTCTCGTTTGCTTTTTTATTATTATCCAATTCTATGATTTTTCTTCATTCGAACTGTAGATTTCATGGCTATGTTATCTCAATGTCTTAAAGTTCCGATTTTGTTATGAGCCCTGCTCTAGGATTTCTGCTGAAGCGAATGTACAATGTAGAAAAGACATTTTTAAAATTAAAAAAAAAAATAGAAAATTATTGAGAAACTGAAAACCTCCGTAGATTTGTTTTGATCGAGAATAACATTAATCTTTTAGGGTCAGCTAAGTGGAGGAGCACAAGAGGTTCTGGGGATAATAAGAAGAAGTCGAATAATTCATCAGATGAAAGGAGACACCCAAAGTCGGAAAAGGCTGATTTTTCCTCAAATAAGTCAATTTCTCATGTAGGCAATAACACCAATTCTGACTCTAGAGGAACTAAGCGAAGGCTTGATGAAAGAAAGCCGATTGATTCAAGCCACTCAGCAAAGAACACCTCCATCAGAAAAAGAACCAGGAGGAGGAAAAAGCATAACTCCTTGGACTTATCCAATCACGAAGGATCTCACAGGGACACGCATTTATCTAAAGTTGCAAATGATGCCCATGAAATACGCTCTGAATCAAATGATGTGAAACGTGTTGAACCACGAAAAAGGAGGAGGCGCAAGAAGAGAAGAACAGGAAGTGGTGCTCCTGCTTGTGATGCACTTTTGGAGGAACCATTGAGAAATAGCAGGTTGAAATCGATAGTTGTGAAGGAAACTGTACCTGTGGAAGGGGAGACATTGTCTCCACTCCGAGAGTTAAAAGTCCGTGTTAGTAAAAAACTGCTCGTCCTTGATCTGAATGGGCTGCTCTGTGATGTTGTTTATGGTTACCCTAACACTCAAAAACCACACGAAAGAGTTGGCAAGTCTGCAGGTGAAATAACTGATTATGTAGTATTTAGACTTTATGATTGAAAAAAATTATGGATTTGTGTTTTTCGCCTGACTAAGGGCTAACTTAACCATTTAACCTATTTCAGTTTTCAAGAGGCCCTTCTGTGATGATTTTATGGAGTTTTGCTGTGAGAGGTTTAACATAGGTGTGTGGTCCTCAAGATTGAAGTATGTTTTCCAACTGATAGAGGGCTCACTTGTTGCCTTGGTTTTCCTTAGTTCAGATATTTTGTTGGTGGTGTAGTCATTCTACATGAAGCCACTTGTCCTTTTGGCTGTAATTCTACTAAATTTTATTATGCTGAAAATGTTTGCAGGATAAACGTTGACGGCGTGGTCAATTTTATCATGAGGGATATTAAGGATCATTTATTATTTTGCTGGGTAAGTGAGTAACAATGTATAGGTGTGTTGCCGTTTAATGAATTTTTCACCTCTAAAATGATGTCTTGCGCTCTGCAATTCTTTTCTGTTGCTAAAGTTAATATATAATTTGACAACGTTGTTGATTGTCTGTATTCCAATTCTCAGTGATATTCTTTTACTCAGAGGTATTGTCATGTGCATGAAATACCGATTTGATTTTAGCAGTGTTCTAATAGGTGGATGGATGGAGAAAGGGAATAAAGATATATCCCATCCTTGCACATCAAACACTTTTAGTTTAAATTTATGTGTGATTAAGGAGTAGTATACACTGCCTATCACTACACTGCCCAAGAGCCAATGTCATAAGCATTTCCATCTATGGGTGATAAGACTGCATCTTAGTATTTCAAGGATACAAATTTCCATGAAGTTACCTGACAAAATTTTCTGATTTGCAACAGAGGAACTATGTTGATATATGCTTATATTAGAGAAATTCCTTAGATGTGTAATTGAAAGGTCAATGTCAGTGGTGGTGCCTCCTCTGATGAATATATCTTATGATGTCATTCAAGGAATGCAGCTCCCTAGAAGGGTTTGGACTGCAAAAAATCAACTGACTTATTGGATCTTTAGCATCTTTGTATTCCTCTTTGTCTATCTTTTTTTTTTGGTTATTGTCATATTAGGCTTTCAAAT